TCCCAAGCCAACTCTTAGCCAATGTGCCACTCGGCTGGCCCTTTTTAGTTACTTTAAAGATACTTCTGTGTACTTTCTCTCAACTTTAGGGGTGCAAGCCCTATCTTGAATCAAAAGTGCTATGGACTCAAGATAGCGCTTCTCTTCATGGGTTTTGTAACTTTTCATTGTGGGATTATCATCAGTGGGGAGTAAAGTGTTTCTGTTTCTGTTTTGTTCCCTATGCAAGAGAGCAGCAACATTATGGTTCTGCATTCAATTCTCTGGCTTCCCATGGCTTTCACCAGTTGGGGTTTTCCTACTCACTTGTTGTCTTAAGCATTCCCATACCTTATGGCTGGTATAAATCTTTACTACATCTTTGTCTTGGGACATTATTTCTCCCATAAAAACTCATTCTGCCCAAAGCTTGGGCAGAAACAAATTCTCTTGTCATTTCTCTGGGCCAGTATAGAGCTCTGTGGTCCCTTTCCATTCCAGGTCCCCACCTCTCTTGGGCCCAAGGTCACATCTCCAGTTCCTGCTTGGACATTATGACTACAGACCCTTTGAGCCTCCAGTGCAGAGACCCTTAGGTTCCTTGGTGGCAGGTTGCAAACTTGTTACTGAATTGAATTCTGCCTTTACTAGCAGCTGAGGGTTTTCTTTTCATTCCCTTTAGCTGTGCATTTCTTTACCAGTTGATTTTTTATTTTATCCATCTTTTCTCTGCATTTGTGGAGGAGAGGATTCTCTGTTAGCTCTTTAATAGGGTCTGACTCTGTCACTGATTTTCTTTATCAATTTATGTGAATCATATCATTGCCTCCTTGATTCGTAAACTTAGTTGTTCTTTTGTTTCAAGGATGTCTTCTCTTATTATTTCTCTGAGTACTTTCCTATTCTATGCATCGGCCTTTTCTTGGGCTAAACGATCACTTATTTCATCATATACTGGAAGAGGAAACAAATCTGTGATCTGGCCCCATGCTGCCATCTTTATGTGGAAGTCTTGCTGTTGTCTTTCACAATCTGCATTTGTCTATTTAGAATGAACCACACCCAGAGGCCCCCTTCTCAGCATCATCTCCCACCTTGGCAGGATGCCTCTTTGCAGTGCCAACCTCTGGAACAGACATGGAGTCAGTTCTTTTTTGGTGGAGGTATGTGAATTTCCCTTTAACTATGGAGGATTTACTTTTTAACTGTATGTCTGCTGGACTGTTAACCCCAAGTATGCAATTTATCCTTAGGGAGACATCTTGGAAGTTGTGCCGACCTTTGGAGATGAGGCCACAATGCTGAGGTCAGTGCCACACCATGGGATAATCAAGTTTATATTCGATGCCGTCATTTTCTTTATAATCAGTATTGTAAAGCCAACCTCTTTGGAACAAACCCCAGCTTTGGAGGGCTTCCTGGTCACAAGGCCTGTGTGAGGAAAGGATACTGCTGTCAGCTTTTGAGTCCAATGTGAAATGAGGAAATGTTCCCTGCTGTGATCAAAATCATGAATTCGCGTGCACTTGACCTCACATTAAAACCCCCTGAAAGTGCTTTGTAAATACCCTGGCAAGCACGGCAAAGATGTTGACGTCTGGGCTACTGCAGGGTCTCAGATGGGACAGTTGACCATGACCCCTTCTCAGCCAGTGCACTAAATCTCAGTGTCCTTAGGGGTACTTCCTGGAGGATGCCAGCTTTGGAGGAGAGCGCTGGCCCCTGGTCTGTGCTAACCTGCTGACCTGAAGATAGGTTACCTGTGTCGCTTCACTGTATTAGTACACCATGAGCCATACACGGTTCACTGTTTCTCAGCACCAACTTCTGCCTTGGAGGCTTCCTGGGGTGGAGTCCCACTTCAGGGCGTGACGTTGGTGTCAGCTCCTCTCCAGGGTAAGTGGAGGGTCCATCGGCCACAGCTGACCGCAGAGCATGGCTTCCCTGATGCTGTGTGCCCTGCTGTGTGTGACGCCTCCATGGGACAGTTCCTGGAGCTTTGCCTAACCAGACCCACTTGGTGGTGCTTGAACAGAGGTCTCCCATGATGCCTTCACTTTCTTTTTTGCTGAATCATACATGGTTGACCTTTTTTTAAGTATCAACTCTGGCCTCTGGATGTCCTGGGGCGGTGCCAACTTGAGGAACTGGAGTGGGCGTCCGCACACACGAATGGATGGTCGAGCTGAACATGTGCATGTCGTCCTATGCATGTCACCTGGGCTCACGCCCACCTCTGTGGTGGCTGGTAGCAGTTTCACTGTAGACTCACGACATGACTGACAGGGAGCTCATCCCTGCCTCTCTCTTTACATGGCGCTCAGGATGCGCTGCACACTTTGCTGAGGCGTGTCCCTCCCTGAATGGCTTCCTGGAAGGGGACACTGGGGTCCACACCTCACGGGGGTAACTTGACTGAGTGGGGCTAGACCTCAGCTTGTTTTACGGAGGGCATGTGTCGCCAGCCTCCTCACGCTCAGCATCCCGTCCGTCCTTAGGCCTGCTGTCTGGGACACGTCGGAAGCCAGCAGCACCCTAGTCAGGTACTTGAATGGAGGTTGTCCATGGTGTGTTCATTTTATTTATGATGAGTATTACATGGCCAATCTCCTTTCAGTACTAAATTCTTCTTGGGAAAACCTCACCAAGCGAAGTTTCCGCCGGCGCCTGTCCAGGGTAAGGAATCGGATCGTTTGCCTCATGATAAGTGCTTGATGTGGGATGTGTGTCCTCCAGCCCAGAAGTCCCAGGAAGGATGCTGACTTGGTTTTCTAGCCACGGTTCCCTTCCCTTCCTCGAAGCCTCACTAAGTGAACGAAGCATATTTGGTAAACCTCTATTTAGGATGAAATCATCTTGGATTGGAGGAACATTGTAGGGAAAGGGACGTCTGTGTCATCCCAGCAGCCTGGCAACCCCAATGGAAGGCACACACTTTTTTTTTTTTCAATGTGGGAGTTGAACCGGCAACCTTGCTGGTAAGCGTGCACGCTCTATCCACTGAGCCATCCGGGCGGCAGCTCAGCTCAAGGTGCCGAGTTACGGAAAGCACACTATTCAGATAATGTGTTCTGCCCTCTCAAGTATCCTCCTCCTCAGGGTGACCTCTGGGAAGCAAAGCCGACTCTGGGGGTGGGGGTGAGGGTGGGGATTCCTTGGCATTGAGAATGGAAGGGGTGTGAAGACAGGTTTCCATGGCGCAATTCAGTTATTCCTGGTACAAGATCAAAATCATGAATAGCATTTGTTATTACCTTTTGTTTGCTAGCTGTGTGACCTGGGGCGAGTTACGCCATCAGCCACCTCTCTGCCTCAGTTCGTTCATCTGTAAAATGGGGTTAAAACCTACTCATAGATAAACATGAAAACTCGATATATACGCCAAGTGTTTAGAGAGCGTCTGGCACACAGTGAAGGAGAAGGAGCAGCAGCCCCTACGACGTTTACTATTTTTTTGTTTCTAAGATTTTACTGGGGAATCAGGGAGGAGGAACAGACAAGGTGCCGTCCTTTTGTTCTTCAGTCTAGTTGTGGAGGACGTCGCTTCACTGGCCCATGTTATCATTGCGCTCTTCCCGGGTGAGGCAGTCGCTTGCCAGCCATTGGACGGCCGCTCACGGCAGCCCACTGCAGCCTACGCCGTCGCTGGCGATTCCTGGCAGCCCAGCTCCAGGTGGAGCTGTTGTTCACCATCTTAGCTGTAGGGGGCGCAGCGTCACTGGCCCTCATGTTGGATCCGAATCCGCGGCCCTGCTGCTCAGAGCTCACATTCCCAAGCCAACTCTTAACCAACGCGCCACTCGGCCGGCCCAATGTTTACTATTGTCATTACATCACAGACCTTCCTTTATCGTCCTCTCGCCCAGTAGAATGCAAGCTCCCTGAGAGCAGTCTTTTGTCTGTTTTGTCTACTGCACAGTAGCTGTGCTGTTGAATGAATGAGCAAACGGCTGGCTGACGTATTTTCCTTATTGAATGCCCTCCTGGAAGCCTCCCGGGAAGAAGAGTTAATGAAGGATGGAAGTGACCCTGTGCCTTCCCGACGACATGGTCCGCTCGCCCTCGAGGAGGAGTCACTGGTCTTCTAATCAGGGGCCCTGCAGGTTTGGAGCTCGGTGGACCCTCTGTGGTCACAGTACTTTCGGAGAATGTGAAACAGCCACTCTCTTCTCGAAATCCCAACTCGGGACTTCCTGAAGGCGAGCCTAGCTTTGGGGTAGGACCTCAGTGTCTGTCCTTCTAGGGTAAGACACCCAATTTGCGGTGCATGTGCTCATGGCCTCACCACTACCCATGTCTGGCTGACGCCAGCTCAGGGGATGGTCCCTCGTGCCATTTGAGCTGTGCATGGTACTCTCTCATGACAAATCATGTTCCACTTACATGTGGGGGGTTCCTGGGATATAGTGCCAGCCTCTGCAGAGACAGAGGAATTGGTGTCAGCACCAGTTGGGGTGAGGGGCACACAGCCAGACCCTGGAGGCAGTGCTGCCTTCGGTGAAGAGGTGCCTAGGTGGTCTCGCCCGTGCTGACGTTTGAGCCTTGAGCAGAGGTTGCCCTTGGTGAATTCGCTTTGTTTATGTTGAATCACACAAAGGCAACTTTTGTTTGAGTATCAAATCTTGCTGGGATGGCTTCCGGGACCCGGTGGCAAGCTCAGGGTCTCTGCCTCTCCCATGAACAAGACCGGATGGTGTAGGTGGGTGTCTGCACCTCCAGTGGATGAGAACGGAGGGTGACCAGAGGACACCAGCTCGATTCATGGTGCAGCTCACCTGGGGTGTGTGAGGACGGCGTCGATGCTGAACCTGCTTCACTTATGACCAGGGACCCTCTTTACACCACCGTTTTGACCATTGATCTGAAAGACCTCTGCCACTGTTTCTCCGAAGGTATTTTGACCTTGTGGGTAAGGAAAAAAAAGTTACACTCCACCGTTTGAAAGGCTGCAGCTTCTCATTCTGTTTCTCTCTCTGCCTCTCTCAGAAACCCCTCTTGTGTTCTTTATCTTTGTGACTTTTCCCCTCTCTCACTCCTCTCTCTCCCTGCCTCTTTCTCTCTCTTTCTATCCCCTGCCAAACAGCGTTCTCAATTTTCTCATGGGTTATGAAATGAATAGAATCTATTAGTATTCCATCCCATTTGTATTAAATTATAGTGATAAAAATAATCAACACAAAGTAAAACTAAAAACAACTGAAATGGCACAGAGTAAAACATGTTCAATTGCCTACAAATTGGCAGAAGAATCCAATTTTTCTGACAGCATTTCAGCGGCCACATTTGACCTGGGGAAATAGAAAGCTGTAGACATGGTGGCCGCAGGAGGAAATTGACGGTGGCAGCAGCTCCGAACGGAGATATTTGATGTAGACAAAAGCACATGGAGAAATCAAATCTGCATTCAGATTTTTAAATGGAAAAGAATTGATTCTAATGAAAATGATTTTGGGAAAATAACAAGGGAAATAAAAGAAATGAAAACAGCCCAACAGCACAGTCAGGAAAGCTAAACAGGGAATTGGATTAGTGTAATGGAATTCACTCTGAAAAACACATTTTTATGAAAATCAGTGTTGGCACAGTTCTCATTAAGATGGTTGAATCCGTATGTGTTTGGAGTGGAGTCGATGGGTCAGTAGGAACATGGGGTCAGAGCCCACTGTCCTTTACTGCTGCTGACATTCTGTTTCTGTCCCAAATCTTCCCAGAGTGCTTCTGGGATGGGCATTCTGACTTCAGGGGTGACACACTGGTCAAGTGGGTGCACTGGACCAGAGCGTGTGCCATCTGGGTGGCGTGCATCACTTGGTCGGCTCTCTCTTGGTATCCCTCCATCCCCTGGGGTTCTGGGTGGCACGCTGATCCCAAGTGAGACAGACAGCCTAGGTCAGTGGGGTCTGGGCCTCCAGGACAGCTGCGTCCAGCACTGGTGTTGAACACACAGGGCGGCTAGGACATTCCCAGCTGTTATCCTTCTTTGGACCCAGTGTTGGCACCTCTCAGAGAGCCATGCTGACCCCAAGGACATGCTCCTCATTGGTGCACATGTCACTTGGTCATAGAGGCTGAGCCTTGTTTGGGAGGTAGTCTTGGGGTTGGTGCTTCTGGGATTGAAATCATGGCCTGGGGTGTGAAGAGAGCTTGTTCTTGGCTGGCATGAACGCTGCATGGTGGGTCTCTTTCCAGGTCAGCCGCTGACTTGGAGGACTTCCAGAAGCCATGCCACCCTCAGGAGGTGGCCAGCAGGGGGAGCCCTCCCCAGGGTAGGTGCATGGGGGTGGCCCTAGGACATGCCCTGACTGTGTTGGTGATGTATGTCATCTGGTCCACTAGCCGGCGCTGTCCAGCCCGTTCTCATGAGCACTTCTGGAGGTGATGCGATGGCAGCTCGGGGAGAGAGCCCGCATGGCAGGTCAGTATCCGTGGCTCCCGAAGGGAAGATGTCCACCGTGGTTTCTTTCTTTAGGACAGACCTTAGACGGCTGGCCTCTTGCTGCAGTTGTAGCAAGAGGGCTCTCTGAGCGCATGCCAACGTCAGGGAAAGGATTCTGCAGTTGGTCCCATTCCAAAGCTCGGGAAATGAGTGTTGGGCACAGAATCCAGCCTCTGCTTGTGGCATCTATCATCTGCTCCCCAAGCCTCACGGGCCGGCCCACTATTTGGGACACATTCTGGATGTGATGTCAACTCTGGGAAAGGTGGGGGCTCTCATTTCGGGGCTGCGTCTTTCTCTTGGAAGAGAGGTCATCTGCAGTTCCAGCGATGTTTTCTCCCCCTTTATGTTTGGTGTTTCGCTGGCTTTGTTTATGAAGCTAATCGAATGGCCTACCAGTTTTTTGTGTTAAATGACCCTTTGAACGATGCTTGGGTGGTGACACCTCTGTACCTGTGTGGGGCTAGAAGCGTGTTGGTGGGACCATGGAGAGTGCAGCTCTGGGCGTTAGTGTCACATACAGGACCCCACTGAGCTCCTTCCAGAGGCAGCATCTTCCGGACGGAGGCTCTGTGCCTGTGTGGGGGCCCCGGAGGTGCCCCTCTCTGGGGTCTGGGATGAAGAGTTGGGCAGCAGCAGGGTTTTGTCTCGGCCGCCTCTGCTGCAGGGTCTGCTCCACTCCGATAGCTCCTAGAGAGGAGCTCTGGGCAGATGGGGCATTTCAGGTGTCGGTGAGCTCTCGTGGGGAGTGCACCTTGGCCATTGTGTCCAAGCATGGGCACCCACTTTTCAGTATAAGATCCCACCGGGGTCTCCCGCTTGACTTCTGGTCAGGGTCCCTAGGTTCGCCTCATTCTGGGGACGTGATGGGGTGTTGGCATTGGTGACTGGGGATCCTTGTAGAGGGAAAAGTTCCCGGCCCCGAGTGCCTGGTGCTCAAGCTGCCTGAGGGAGGGGCTCCTGGAAGCACGGCCACTCGGAAGCGTCTGCCTTAGTCCAAGCATCCGAGCCTCTCCATGGTACTCGGGGAGAGGTTACCCGAGCAACTTTGCATCTGGACGACGAATGTTGCTCGGTGAACCCCTTTTCGGTATCAAATTCCACCAGAGAGGCCGCCTCGGAGGCCGTGGTGCTTCGGGAAAGAACGTCAGTCTCAGCTCCGCTTTGGGGTACAGGATGGGTGGTCGACCAGTTGGAAAGTAATTGTTCCTAATGTACTTCACCTGGTCCACTAGCCGTCCGTACCCACTGCAGCCTGCGGCCCGCGGGCCTGGGCCAAGCCGCTGCGCCTCCACTCAGCACCTCTCCTGGTACTTGAAGGGAGATCGACCGTGTTATATTCGCTTTATTGACTTCGAATAATACATGGTTGATCTTTTCTCAGTATCAAATCTCACCTTGGAGGACCTGTTGGAGATGAAGCCCTTGTGGGGGTGGGAATGGGGCGGGGTTTTCGTGTCACTGCCCCAGCGGGTGCTGAGGGACAGTTGGTCGCTGGGGCTGGGCAGGGCAGGGCGTGCACCGCCTGTCCTGTGTCCCCTCATCGGTGCTGTTTGATCCTCCCTCAGGGCCGCTCCGGGAGGCGCCCGTCGTTGCTGCGGCAGCCACAGTCCCTGGGTCAGCGTTACTTTGGGTACTTGAGGAGAGGTTGTCTGTGATGAGTTCGCTTTATTAATGACGAATATAACACAGATGGCCTGTTTTCATTACCACCCACACCTTGTGCGCAGGGCCAGGCCTGAGGCTGGCCACCTCTAGGGTACGTGACTGCATGGGCTTCGGGTATGACATCTGTCACCCTCCCTGCTGACCCTCAGCACCTAATCCATCCTGGAGAGCTTCCTGGAGGGCTCCTTGACCTTGGGGAAGAGGCAGGGGTGGGGTGTGTCGGGAAGGCTGGTCATGAAGCTTTCGCTGGATGTGTGATGAATGACGAGGGTGCAGTCTATTTTCCACGCCCAGTGTCATTAATCAGAGTGCTCCCCGGAGGGCCCCCATTGGAGTGGGCACCTGCCGCTCTCCAGGGCGTCCCTCCAAGGGGACCGCATGCGTGGCCTGCACCTGGGAGGTGTGTCTCGGCTGCTTTCCATCTCATCCCAGTGCCTAGGCGACCCCGCGGCAGGATATCCCTCTTTGGGATTAGCCCAAGGGGCCGCTCCATGTGGTGCTTGAGGAGAGGTGGCCCGTGTGCATTTGCATCCATTATGACGCACAATACACAGTCGACCTCTCTTCAGCATCAGATCCGGCCTCGCATGCTTCCTGCACGCTCGCTGGCCCCAGGAGGATGTAGCATGTGCCGACTCGCATCGTGGGGGCCCTGGGGCGGGCAGGTGGGTGGCCGGGCCGTCTGTGAGGAAGAAGCCTCCATCTCGAGTCCGCCCTGCTCTGTGGTACCTGAAATAGGTTGCCTGTGAGGTGTTCACTTTCTACACGATGAATATTATACAGTCAACCTCTTCCCGGTATCGACTCCCGCCGTGGACGACCTCCACTTCAGGTGCTGACTCCAGGCGGCAGAAGCCCCTGTGTCGTTGACCCGTGGACTTGGCGTAGGACCTGGGCCACGTGGCCTGTTATTTTCCAGCTCCACCTGTTCCGGAGGGATTCCCAAAGCACCACGGAGCGGCCTCCCTGGTTCCGGAGTCGGTGGTTCCCGACGTCCGTGTTCCTGACACTTCCCTCTTCACTGGGCACCCTGGCCCTGCCCCAGCCCTGTCCAGACCACGTCAGGGTCACCTGGCGGAGGAAAAAGGTCCCGGGTCATGGAAAGGTGAACTCCAAGAACACCTCCAAAGGATAAGCCTGGCAGTCTGGTATTTGCTCATGGTCTCCTGGGCCTCAGGAAGCCCCCTCTGAGCAGGACTGCCATCTCCAGCTCCGTGTACACCTTTTCCCTGGGGCTTACTCGGGCCAAGGATCCCTCTGTGCCCAGTGTGTGGGGAGGGGCTGCCCCACCTAGTGTCCCAAGGCCCCACCTGGCCACCCTCAGTCCCTGCACTCCCTTCCTCGCGTGATTCACAGTATGTCCCCTGTTTGTGTCCATCCATCCTCCTTTGGGAGCTGGATCCTGGGTGGCCCCATCTGTGCACGTGGCTGTCAGCCTCCTCCTGTCCAGGATCTAGGCCTCCCTTCCTTGGCCCCCACCCTCACGCCCCACGTCCCCCTTTCTCGGGACACTCAGCACAGTCTCTTGCTCACGCCCCTTTTCCCCCAAGGAGCCCCTTTTCCAGAGTAGGGCTTCTGGGTGCTGGAGGGGAGGAAATGTCTGTTGCTCAGCAAGGCTGTCTCTGATCAACCGGCCTCTCCCTGTCACTTTTTGTCCCCGTTATCATTTTCATCCTCGCTTACTGCTATCCAAAAGTACCTGGTGTTAACGCTTATTTTTTCTCTCCCCCTAAACTGTAAGATTTCTCAGGGTGGGTTTTTTTTTGTCCTGTGGGACGCAGGAGGCCCACAGTAGAGGAGCTCTGAGTGTTTATTGACTAACAAACGCAGGGGCCTTACCAGGTTAATCCCAGGAAAGAGCCAGGCACAAAGGAGGTACCCAGGAAGACGTGAGGCACACATGAACATGATAACCAGTTCTTAGAAATTCTTCACGTTCATTGAAAGCTGTTTGGTTTCAGCTTTTTCTGCCCCTTCGAGGATGTCATTTGAGAGTCTGAAGTTTGCTGCAACAGGGGCAGGTCAGCTGGGTCTGGGCTCTTCTCTCCAGTTTCTAGGGGGTCCCCTGGGACCCCCAAAAGAGTGATGAGCCCCAGTATAGCCCTGCAGACACCAATTGAGCACTCCCAAGCCTTCCAGTAAATTCTACAGCGCTCCGAGCTGGCTGCTCTGGGGAACTCCATCTCCAACAGGCTGGAGCATGGTGTCAGAGCTAATATTTTATGCATGGAACTACTAAATGGGGACATTTGGAGATGAAAATTGCTGTTAATGCATTGACACATCTTTGGAATATATTAAATATATGTGTGGGGGCAGGAGGCACCGTTAGCCTTATTTAATGGCTCCAGTGGAACCGTCCCCACACGGAAGCATTCACAAGCACAACCCCCCCAACTGCGCCCCCTGCCCCAAATCTCCCAGGCCACCGCTGGGAGAAGCGTTGAGTACATTAGCCGCCCTTTGAGAATTATGCATGAGACACAGTGTCAGCCCAGGGTACCAGACATTCGGCAGTGTGCATGTTCCGAACCCATTTTAGACCCAGTGACGGTGACCCCATATTGCTCGGTGCAGAATGTCATTACATGCTCAATTACTGGTTTACCTATTGTTTGAGGAGAAGAGAAAATAAACAAAGGGCCTTTCTCATCTGACAAGCCGGAGGAAAATGTCTGTCCTAGCAGCGGCCAGGATGAGAGCCGCTGAGGGCCCCTGGGCCAGAGGTTCGGTGGTGGGGGCCATCTCCAAGGCCTGCGCGTACCCAGCCTCGGGTCAGTTTCACTCGGTGAACACCGCTTCCCGGTGTCTGCCTGGGGAAGGCCCTGTCTCCCTCAAGTGCGTCTCCTAGACATTCCACAAGTGCGGTTTTTAGAATTGGGAAGTTGTTGGACAGACTGGACCTGTATTCCCTTCCCCTTACTGCTTTCAAGGGGAGATAGGAAGCAAAAGAATAGCTGCCCTGAATGGGCTTTAGCCTTGACCTTGGTCCCATCTCCAGTCTCGGGGGTTTGCTCACTGCTCCCCATCAGCCCTGGAGGTGCAGGCTCTGATTTACAGATGAGGAAACGGGGCACAGAGAGCCAGAAACTCGTCCAAAGTCACTCGAGTGGGAGCTGGGGCGGGGTCTGGCTCCAAGCTTCTCATTCTTAGCCACTCTGCCCACGGCAAGCCGCATGCTTTAGGAATAGCCCCTTTGCCCTAGAGCAGCGGTTCTCAGCCTTCCTAATGCCACGACCCCTTCATACAGTTCCTCATGTTGTGGTGACCCCCAACCATAAAATTATTTTCGTTGCTACTCTATAACTGTAATTTTGCTACTGGTATGAATCGTAATGTAAATATCTTTTTATTTTCTGATGGTCTTAGGCGACCCCTGTGAAAGGGTCGTTTGACCCACAAAGGGGTCGCGACCCACAGGTTGAGAACCGCTGCCCTAGAAGAAGGCAGGCCTGTCGGGTGGGTCCCCAAGTTCTGTCTGCATGATGAGTTAGGCTTGCTTTTCCCAACAGCTTGCCATACTTTTCATGGTGGTTTTCCCTACCCCCACCCAGCATCTTCACTTTGGTGACGTCGCCTACAAAATGGGGTGCTTTCTGTTGGGTGCAGTCCCCACAGCCCCTGGCTCATGTCCAGCCTGGGGAGAGGGCCGCTGCTTTGTCAGAGGACCCAGGGCACAGCAGAGATCTGAACAGCAGAGCCCCACACTGACTCGGGTCTTGCTACCACATTTGAGGGCTGTCTTTGCCACCTTGGCTGTGTACAGATCTAGTCAGAATGGCTGGTGACCAAGAGCGGAGAGCTCAGTCCAGCCAGCTGATCTCTGCAGGGCGGGACCTGCACGGCCTGACTCCCCCAGAGCCCCCGATTCTCCGTTGTCACTCTACCCTTGCATGTACACCTCCCTGCAGAATCAGTGACTGGCGTGGTCCTGGAAACCCCACAGACTCAGTACTGATGGGTCCTTGGGTGCAAAGAACCCCCAAATGTCAGGGCTGAGTGGGACCCTGAGTTTATTCCCCTCTTGTCCTGGCCCTCTACTCACACCCTTGTACAGGTAAGAAAACTGAGGTCCAAGAGGGTAGCGTGCCTTGCTGTGGCTTTTCTTCTGAGGGCTGTCTCAAACTTTGGGGCCGAGACCCACCTCTGGCAGATAGGTGGTTTCCTTCTTTGTAAAACTGGGGGGTGACCCAGCATCCCAGGGCCGTAGGAACAGAAAGCGAGATTCCTCAATACCTGAATTTTCAATACTGCCCAGGCACAGAGCTGCTAGAAACCAGGGCTTTAACTCTGCAGTGCCGGCTCATAGTAGGTGTTCAGCTAATGCCTGGCTCAAAGCTGGCCACAGACCTCAGCACAGAAGTGTTCGGCGCGTGAGGATGTATTGAATCGGATCTTTTTATCACCAGGAGGAGGCTCACAGGAGGCGCTGGGAGGACGTTTGTGGAATGAATAAATAAAAGCATGCTGTTGGAATGAAGAAGCAGAGAAATGAAGAAGAATCGGGGAAGATGGACATAAATTTCCACCAAGCGCCGCCAAGGCTCTGCAGTCGAGGCCGCTGAAAAGACCCTGCGGAGGCAGAGGGGCCATTTGTCACCGCGCAGACGGCTGGAGGGCCGGGAAGCAAGGGCGTGACGGAGGCTCGTTCATCATTTTCCCATTACCAGGTGACATGGAGGAAGCTCACGCATGCGCAGCCCGACCACCCTCCGGCGGTAAGTGTAGGACTGGGGGTGGGGAGGGACCCCGGGGAAGGGCAGGCCCACTGGGTGAGCAAGCAGCTTCGCCCTGAAGCCCTGGCATGGGTGGTGGAGAGGACAGGAGCCACGCAGAGCCACATGACCAGCCTGGGCTGGACTTTGGTGCCATTATGGCGGCAGGACCCGAATGGGACCGCGCATTCTCCTGGCATGATCCTGAGGCAGTGGGACATCTGAAAGCCCACTTCGTGCCCTTGCTGCTACCGTGCTTGTTTCCACACCTATTGCCATGCCTTTGCCCAAGCTGTACCCTTACCTGCAATGCTCGCCCCTCCCCCTTTTCCTCCAAGGCTCTGTCTGCTCCAATGCCACCTCCTACAGGAAGCCTTCCCTGATCCACCCCAGTACACACACACACACACAGCCTCACTCTGCGGTCAGATGCCAGTCCTCTGATCCTTTGATCCACAGGGATCTGTCTCCCTGCCAAGCCTGGAGGCTCCACGGAAGCAGGGGCTGTTACTGGTTTGGTCACCGTGGGGCCCCTGTACCTGGTGCAGAGCCTAGCCCAGGGAAGGCACTACGCCACGCTTGTTGCCCTTGTCTCCCCTTTGTAGGCATGCTGGATCCTGGACCCAGCACTTAACAAGTGCCCGGCGCATGCACATCCCACAGGCAGGGCCTTTGGTTGACCTCAGCCATGAGCCACGGGCTGTGCCAGAGGTGGCCACACCAGACCACTTCTGCCTGGAGAGGTGTGAGCTGTGAGCTGGGGCGCCTGGCCTGACCCCGGAGTCATCCGTGGGGCTGGTAAGTGCCCGTCAGGACTGCTAGTTGCCTCCCATTTGGATCTGGAGCAGAGGTGGCCTTTATCCAGGGCACACGGGCTCATAGCGGGAGCCAAGCCTGTTATTAGGGCCAAAGCCACCTGACTCAGTGTAGCGCCTCCGGGCTCCAAACAGCATTTGCTGAATGAAATGAATGAATGAATGAATGAATGAATGAATGAAACGGGGCCTCCTGACCCCTGCCCAGAGCTTCCTGCACACCCTGCATGGGCAGTGCTGCAGTGCGGTGGAGGCCTGAGCAGGCCGCGCTGCCTTCCAGGGTCCCCTGGTCTTCCCTGGGGCAGGACACCGCTGAGAAGGTGCGCAGAGCCTGGGTGCGGGAAACCATCCAGGATGCTGCTTCCACCATCTGTGATATCTTCGTTTTCTCTAACACTCAAAAATAGATGTTTCTGTTATGCTCTGTTGTTGGCAGGGGAGCGGCGGGGCCTGCCAAGGCCTGGGGGAGCCCGCCAGCCTGCTGAGTTTTACTGTACAAACAGTTGGGGGGGGGGTGTCTCTGTTAACTTGAAATCCCCGATCAGTAAACATGCCAATTTAAAGTGTAATTAACTCAGGCCGGAAAAATTTCAGATTTGGACTGCTTTTCACAGTTGAGGTTGTTTTTCTTTTATTTATTTATCTCTTTCCGGGTGTGGTGGTGTCTGTGGCAGGTTTTAGCCAGGAAAAATAGAAGGGGGGCCTGAGTGGGGAGGGGGGCTGGTTGGAGGAGGAAATGGTGGAAGGAAAAGAGGGGAGGTCAGCCTAACACCCCAAGGGCCCGATGTCTGTATCCGCTGTCTGTCTAGGACAGTGGGTGCCGGGTGAGGAAACTGAGGCAGAGGGAAGTAGGGGACATGCCCATTTCAGGGTGCAAGCTGGGCCCTGTGATAAGAATTGTGGGGTGCTGTCGCAGGACCCCAGGAAAATACTGGGCTGGTTCTGGGTGCTCCCCCTGACACCCCCTGTCTTGCCTCCAGTTTAGGGGACCCACCTGCTCTTCCTAGAGCCCTGCTTTCTCTGAGCCCATCTGGGGTCTAAGCGCTTTCCTCCTGGTCGCCTGCTTCACACGACTCCAGGTCCCTGTCCTCGGAGAAGGCCGAGGGCACCCATGCCCCAGCAGACGGACGGATGCACAGCGCCCTTCAGACCAGCGCCCTCTCTGGCCTCACCCAGGAAGGAGGAGGCGAACCCCCCGGCCTTCGCTGTGGACTGGGGAGGGCTGTGTGGGCATGGGGAGACGTCCTGAGGGAAATACACTCAAGTAAAAGAGCAAATGACCTGCGCCCCTCGCCCACCAGACAGTGCGGCTGGGCGGTGAACATGCTGGTTAGGATGCAGGAACGCCTGCTCTTCCTTTTCAAACTCTTTGAATGTTGTCGGGCCGTTTGAATAATAAAGCTACATTGTACAAATCAAAGTCTGTGTGTGTGTCTGTATGTTCGGGAGTCACTTTCATACAGTCACTGCCCTTTGCCCAGGGAGGACTCTGCAGGGAGCATCTTCCGGAAGCGGGGTTCCCTGGGGTGCCCCACTCTGTGAGTCCACATTCTCAGGTGGGAGTCAGGGCCAGGAGAACACACGCTGCCTTTGTCTGAGGTCTTAGATGGTTCCTCCAGCCCCGCTGCCGGGGCCCCCTCCCGGGGCAGAGGCCAGGGCCCAGGGGCAGAGCCCGTGCCCACGCCTGGCTCTGCCAGCCTCCGCCTGGTCACGACACAGCCAGGCTGACTCAGACGCGGGCCCAAGCGGGAGCCTCATAAATTACATAATTACCTATGAAACCTGCTGCCGCAGCTGTCAGCCGGAAGGACGCGCTCTGCCTGGCCGGCGGTGACTCACTTCCCCAGAGCCTCTCGCCCCCACCTCTGTCTGGGCTGGCTGGCAAGGGGAGGGGTGCCAGCGTGCTCTCTACCCCCAGCTCTGCAGCAAACGGAGAGGCAGGCAGCCGCCGTCTTGCCCAGGGCTCAGGGTGGGGGGCACCCTCTGCAGCCCCCCAGCGGCCCTCCAGATGGACTGTCCCCACCCAACAGGAGAAAACAGGCCCAGAGAGCCCTTGTTCCCTCGTCCTGTCCATCCGTGGCAGGAGGGGGCTCTGGCTAGTGCCCGTGGCCGCCTTCACAGAGCCCAGCTGCTGGGTCAACCTTCAAGCCTCTGGCTTCTCCCTCCGCATTGCCACCCCTTCCGAGTCCGTTGGCGTGGGCAAGTTCTTCCCTTGGAAAAACACTTCTACTCTTGAAAGTGACTGAGTTTGGGAAAGAGGCATAAGGTTGCCTTTCCAACCCAAGCTGAGTGTACATATTCGGTGAGGGAGCCTACAGGGGATTTTTATTTTGTTTTTTTAAATAAAAATCTAGCAGGATGGGGTCTCGTGGAGATGGGTTCCAGGTGAAGTCTAGGTTTGAATCCAGTTTTTGTTGTTTACTGGCACTGAGCCTCAGTTTCTTCATCCACAAAATGGGCACACTATCTCCCAGCTGGTGGGTGGGATGAGGTGAACTGGGTTGGTTCTCGTTAAATTGGGGGCTCCCTCGTGATGGTCCATGGATGGTCAGGATCCCCACAGGTCCCGCAGTCACAACACACCTGCAGCCTGACTCACCCTGGACCAGGAACCACCTCTCGCTACTAGCCCCAGTGTCCAGGGACTGTGCCCCATGCCCATTTGCCCCCTACCTTCTGAAGGCACCCCCAAAACAGAACCAGGAGGAACAGAACCCGTTATGCTCAGAGCCACATTCAGATCCCAAGCAAAGCTCCGTGGCAGGTCACAAAGGGTGCTCGGGGTCCCCTGGGGGCCTTCCAAGACCTCTGTACCCTCCACTCCCCTCCTTGGCTCCACGTCTGGGGAGAAAGCTGCACGCGTGAGCTGTTCCGTGGGTGTGGGGGTCTGTGACCTACCTGCTCACGTCAACGCTTGGGAGGGTTGTAGAGGTGTGGACAGGGCAGTCCCCAAGGCCCAGCCACCTTCTCAGTCCCACAAGCCATCTCAGCTCACGAGAAAGCCCACCGACTTGTTCTCACTCCCACGCCTCGGGTACAGACTCCAAACAGATGTGCTGAGGGGCTGGCTTCCTGTGGAGGACCTTGGGGCAGGTGCTTTCCCTACCAGGGCCCTCACCTGTCCTTCGTCCTTAACGCAGCCCCCCTGGAGCTGGCCCACCATTCTAGTAATGACATGACAACAGCCGCCCCCTCTGACTGTGCTCCTACTGTGTGCCCAGCAGGATCTGGGTGCTTTGTTCAAACCAGTGGGAAGGGTCCTGTTACACAGCACAAATCTGAATACAGATCTTGTTGGGATCCTGGCTCCAAGTTAGCTCCGGGAATTCACATGCCTGCACTGGGCCTCAGTCTTCTCATCTGTAAAATGGGTGTGTGTGATCAGGTTATGTGACACTGAAGTCCCAAGTCCCTTCCTGTGCTATCATCCCCTGTGACCCAGCCCTCAGGATCCCAGGCCACCCTCCCCTCAGCTATGAGAACGCCCTGCTGGTCTCTGTTCCCTTCCATTGCCCGAGGAAGCCCAGACCCTCTGCAGGTCCAGGGAGGTGGGACAGGGCGGGCTGCTTGCCCTTCCGCGACTCCTCAGCCCTCCCTGCCCTGGATCTAGCCCTCCCCTCCTCCTCTCCCTCTGCTTTCTGCCCCCTTCTTTTCTCTTCCCAATGTACCATCAAGCTAGAACTGTGCATGGAAGTTTCTAGGACTTGCCCACGGGAGTTGCAGCTCCCTGGAGGAAATAGCTAGACTCTTAAGTACCAGACCTCATGGCTCACGAAGCTTTTATCCTGCCGCAGGACGGGGAGCTGGCCTGTTGCCTGTCCTTCTCCCGCTGCAGACAAACTTCAACATCCCTTTCTGCAGCCCTGTCTCTGAACATGCCACCCCTTCATGGGACTCGCGTGCTGCCTTGGATGCTGGAGCCTCACAGGGGCTCTGTGGGTCACTAGGAATGCAGAGCTGTGAAAAACAGCCATTCTTCCCAGGCCGCTGCCAAGGCAGTGCAGCAAGGGCTCTGGGGCTCAGGCGTGCACCCCGACTGCTTGAGTTCCCATCGCCCTGTAGCCTGGCGGGCAGTACTCCGTCTCTGCGGGCCCCAGGCCCCCTATCCCCCAGGTGGAGCTGTGGTAAGGATAGGTGAGTGAATCCGTGCGCGTGGGTGAATATTAGCTGTGACATGCTCTGCTGCCTGTTATCTCAGGACCCTCAAGTGGTGCCTGGGACCTGTGAGGTATCTACAGTGTCCCCCACTACTTTTGTGGTTAAGATGATGAGGTGCCCCGCTATGTATTTGTTCCCTTGCCACAGTCATTGATTGATACCTTTGGTCTCTGGAGTGAGGGGTCACCCTTCCATTCTTGCAGGGGTCACTTTCTCAGCAGCCCCCAGCCCTGACTGTGTCCTCCTGGGGATGTTCCTGCCCTGTTTCAGGACTGTGGGGGCTGGAAGGAGGCAGGTGTGATGGACCAGGGCTGGGGTTCCACGCTGTCCAAGAATAGAACTGAGTTTCTTTTATAGAAAACAAGTCTGTGTCCAGAAGACAACTGTTTCCAGCCTCAGGAAGGGGGGCGAGTGGCCTATGGATTGAAGCTGCTCCTGCTTCAAGCTCCACCTGGGTTCTAAGCCAGCAGGTGAGATGGGGACAGAGGTGTCACTGATGGTACAAGAGCCACACGCTTGAATACACCTGTGTATTCAGCCCAGTTCTGCCACAGTCTTGCTGTGTGTCCTAAGGGAAGTCACTCGAACTCTCTGAGCTTCAGTTTCCTTATCGCATGGCCTGGGTTCTTGGGAAACAGACCTGAGGCTGTGCTTGGCACACTTTCTTTTTTTTTGTTTGTTTTGGTTTTTTTTAAAGATTTTTTTTTATTGGGTAATTGGGGGGATGGGAACAGTGATGGGGAATTGGGGGAAGGGGAACAGACAAGTTGCTGTCGTTTTGTTCTTCAGTCTAGTTGTGGAGGACGTTGCTTCACTGGCCCAAGTTGGCACCATCATTGCGCTCTTCCCGGGTGAGGCAGATCAGTCGCCGGCTTCTGGACGGCCGCTCACTGCGGCTGCTGGCCGCTCACGCTGGCTGCTGGCCACATATGGTAGCCCATGGCAACCCACTGCCACAGGGACTGCAGCCTACGCCGTCGCCGTCGCCAGCGACTCACGGCAGCCCAGCTTCAGGTTGAGCTGTTGTTCAGCATCTTAGCTGTGGAGGGCAGTGTCACTGGCCCTCATATGTGGGATCCGAACCGGGGCCCTCTGGCATCCCAAGCGAGTTCTTAACCATCGTGCCACTCGGCCGGCCCCTGGCACACTTTCGAATGGATAGTTGGCACTCCATCCCCCCAAGTCTCTCTGCCAGCCCTCTCTGCTTTGTCCATCCTGGCCCCATGCCTCATTCAGACACTCTGCAACGCTGGGTACATGGAAGACCACCTGAGCTCGGGGTGTGGCTTCTATGCACCCACCTCCCTTCCACCCAGGGAGGAAGATGTGAGCAGAACCCTTGGAAGGGCTGTGGGTGACTGCAGAGCACAGGGGCTCTCTCAGACCCCAGGAAGTGGGGGCTGGCCGAGGGCCCCTTCCCTGCGGAATCCTTGCTGAGTTGGGTAGGACTGCTGTTTGTCTCCTGTCTGTCGTCATCTTTCGTTTGGTACCTCTCTCACGGCGCTGACGTTTCCCTGAGGCCAGCCCAGGAGGAAGGGGGCTGGCGGCTGCACAGTACATGCAAGGGGTAGGGGTGGCGGTGCACCTGGGCTCTGCTAAGGCTGCCTGGGCCCAGGGCTGGGGACAAAGAGATGGTGCAGACCCCTCCCCACCGGGGGAGTCACTTCATCAGTCCCCCAAAACCCTGACAGCCATGGTTTCCAGCTTCCCTACCTCACATGTGCACAGCACAGCAAGGGTCCCCGAGGGGGGAGCGCTCCCAGCCTGACACAGGGCAGCTGTCCGTTGTCCCCATCCCCCATCTCCAGATTCCCTGCGATCTCATGGTTACAGCAGCAGGACGCCAGCTAGAGGTTCACTGGCCTTTTCTAGCTCCCTGGCACTTTGTAAGCGCTAACGAGACAGTAACCATCAGGGTGTATTAATAGTCCCCGCGTTCAGCTTGCACCTAACCAGTGACTTTTGAGCATCCCTTGTCCTGGGCAGAGACCCACACAGCCAGTCTCTCCCTAGAAGCGTGCAAGGTCAGGACACAAAGGAAGGAGACCCCAGGAGGCCTGGCCCGGTGCCCACCTTCAGGGTCTGGGAGAAGACCCAAGAGTCATCACCTCCCCCAGGCAGGGTGAACGCCCAGAGCCTGGGAGGACGCCTGATCACAGAGTGCCTTTCTCTACTTTATCTCCAGGAATGCCCCCTGACTTCTGCCTGGCACCTTCCAATGATCACCTTTCCAATTTTCAGCTGGAAA